TGGGTGTTCAGACCACCTGGGCGGTTAACGCCTCGCCCTGGTAAGGGACCCCCCACGGTCTGGGCTCCTTTTCTGGACCGAGGGGGAGGAGTGGCAGCAGATGTACGTCAGATAAATAGAACAGGCATAGTGGGAGAAACTTGCGGGGCAAAATGAATTTTAAATATTTGAAGTGGGTAGTGGGCATTGATGCTGTATCCGTGCGGTTGCGAGCAATGCGGTACACTTCGTTCTGATTAACAGCCTTCCTTTTAGTCTTTGTTTTCGTCAAACTAAGAGCACAAGGGTGAATTACTTTGAGAAAAGGTTTTGTTCTGAAAGTGGCTGGGGTGGCTTAAGGAGCTCCAGTCTCTCTCAGGTTGCAGAGCTCCGTGTTCAGACTTTGTCTGCATTTGGGAGCAGTGCTATATAGTCCCCAAAGCGAGAAGAGGCACTGGTGTGACAGGGAGTACTGCCTGTCTGTGTGCATGTGCATGTACAGAGATTGGGAATACGTGGAGACTGGAATTTAGTGTCGCAAACAGAAAGCTACAAAGCAATTGCCTTAGCAGCTCTAATGGTCTAGTCTGTTCAAGAAGCTAAAGGACTGGAGCTTTTTCCTAGATTGTATAAAGACATTAAATGCAATGTTTTCAGGGGTGCAACAGTTGATTTAAAAAGCTAGTAAATGAGAAGGGTGAAGCAGGGCTACTCAATATGCCTATCATTCTTGGGGCTTACAAATTAAAACTTTGTATCATGCCCTGCTTTTACTGTAGTTTTCTATTTGTAGCCTAGTCCCCCTGCCATTTATAGCAGCACTTGATAATGAGACCACTCGCAATACTGTCAGAGGAGCAGAGGCAGAATAGCTGTCCAGGTGGAGGGCTGGCTTTGGAGCATCAGAAGAAACCCTTCCATGTAAAGGTGGCTCGTGGTTAAACCTTCAGCCTTAGTACCTCCACACTGGTGTATCACTCAGTGCTGTTGGATTGCGTGGTCTTTTTCATCTACCTCAACAACCTCATAAGCCTGTGAATACAGCAGTGGAATTTAGCCTATACTGTACTTGTGGCGTGCCGGGTGATGTAGTGAATGCTACTTTGATCTTAATTGTATGCGTCTTGTTGTCTCATTGAATTGTTGAGATTTAGGGCCTGGTCCATTAACTGCTATCTATATATGCCTACTTGTGATGTTTGCATGAATTCTCTGTATAGACTACGTGTAAGATCAGGTCCTTTAATTCGATTAATAGAAGAGAGTTGAGCACTTTTTGCCATTGGTGATGTTTGGTTTTCACACTCAGAAGGAAATGATAGTGGTTATCATTCTCTTAAGAACTTTATAAATGCTCCATAGTCCCCGTGATGCCCGTTTGTTATACTTGAAAAGACTAGTAAGAAAAACCGTGATTTACTCAAGGTTTTAGAATTTATCTGTGGCCAGTATTAGACATAAGCTTTAACTTAGAATCTAAGAATTTCTTGGCTTTATTTCTGTGCTCTGACCATGAGAAACTGTGCCTTCCACAGTTGAAGTAGAAAACTATGTTTAGATATGTTCCAGTAATTATGAAACACACAGAAAGAAAAAAATGTTAGGTTGTATGAAACTTCATTCTCCTCTCCCGACCCAACTCTCCACTTTTAAATTCTTTTTTAGTGAAATGCAACTCTAACTGTGCATTTGTATGTATTTCTTTCAGATTTGCAACCAACATAATGCTGAAGCTCCCAACTTGGAACAAGCATTTCACAGAATGGCACAAGCAGAACCTAATCTGGACCATGACATATCATGGTTCCTCCTTCCGTCATACTGGGCTAAAATGCTTGTGGCATTAATTTCCTTCCTCTGTTTTGCTAACAGCTATGATGGAGATTTTGTCTTTGATGATTCTGAAGCCATCATCAATAATAAGGTTTGTCTCTTCTTTCCGTCCCATGCCCTTTGACATAAATGGTCATAGGAAAAGAAATAATGACAACAGTTATCAAAGTAGGCCCAAAATATTCATCCTAGTAAAGAGCTTCCTTCTGATATTCCTTTTTTTGAATTTCATTTTTCTGTTTTGTTTTATTGGTTTTTTTTAAAGTAACCTTTATTTAAGGTTGACAAACAAGCTGTGCAGCAGTGCTCTACTGAAAAGCTAGAAGCATAAGTATGCTTAACAAAATCTTATTCTTAAAGCTATTTGAATAACATGACTTGGGTTCTAACGCATAAACAAAAGAGAGAACAAATTAAACAGCTTTTTTTTTTTTTTCTCAGAATCTGTCCCCTTTCATTCTTTTGCAAGTGAGATGCTCTACTTAACAAGTGTTGATATCTGGTCAAGGGGAAGGGAGCTCTTTTTGCCATACCAAATGAACTTTTTCTGCTTGTCATCTAAGAAAGCATTATCTAGGGTTGCAGCAAATTTCAATGTGATGATCAGTAATGATTATTCACAGGGTACCTGTACATCAAGACTGCCTATAGATCTAATTTTATGCTCATTTCTAAGTCAATGAGAGTATGCAGTAGACTTTTCTAATACCCGTTGATGTTAATAGGAGATTTTTTCATTATCTTCTCAAGGTGACAGATGAATAAGCTCAATGAATAAACTTGCTCTGGTTGCAAGATATATAATGTATCACTAAGCGACTGTAGGGTGCAGGGGTTCTCCGGATGCAGCTTATACCATAAAAATGTTACAGGAAGGATGATGATCAAGGAGAGCTTCCTTCTCCTATGCTCCTTCCCCACTTAAAGTTCCTGTGACAACTTTTTTTTTTTTAAATAGAGGCAGAGTATTCTTGTGCTCTATTTTAAAACTGAGCATACATGCAATGAAGAATCCTTGAAATGCTTAGAAATTAACATGTGACTCAAACAAACCTCTAGCTGAGATTCTTTTGACTTTGAGGAGTTGAGTGTCATCAATTGCTGAGACACTTAATAGAATCACATGTAGCAGCTAGTGAGCCTGTGCTCATGGGTGGCTCTTGGTGTTACAGTTCTTATGCTGTTCTGGAAGGTACTTGTTAAATGTAAAAAGATTTGTTAAATCTTAAAATTTACTTGTTAAAGGGTAAAAAGAAATCGCCCTCATCTGTTGCTTCTGTTTTCCTGAAGCCATGGGGTTACAAGGTAGATAATCTGGAGATTCATGCTGCTAGAAGAACACAATTCATGGGTTTTTTTGCCTTGCACAAGATTTAGAGGCAACTTTTCACAATGTGCCTTTTAGAATTCCACAGAATTACTGTTTCCTTAGACAAATTTGTATTATGCTTGTGTAAGTCATCATACCTTGAGTTGTAAATGTATGGAAGGAAAATATATCTGCCAGACTGGAAATAAATCTCAAAGCTTCTAAGAGAATACTATAGACAAATGAAGAACCTACAGTGATTTTTATTTTTTTTTTAAGAAACATTATATTTTAAGTTACACAGCTTCTAGCACTGTTTCATTCTGCAAAGTTTTATTTGGGGCACAATTATAATACTTTAATTTCCTGAAAGAATGAGCAAAAGCCTGATGTTGAAACAAGGCAGGTTGTTTTGTTCATGTGCAATTTTCACACTTGTAATCTTTCTCCATTCCTTTCAGTCTTTGCTTTCAAAATGTTTCAATTTATCTGTGCAACACAACAACCTGCAGCAGGATTATAGCTGTTGGCAATGCTGAGAAATTCCACCAACTGCTTATATAGATTAATTCATACCTAGTCTGCATGTTTGAAAAACTGTGAGGCTTATTCTATTTTTCACATCAAAATCCTCTATTATTCCCTAGAAATCAAATGAGATTTTTGTGACAGTATCATTTTAACACAGGAGTTGTGTGAGTATATGGGAATACAAAATCCACAAGATAAATGCAGAGACAATGAGGTTATCAGTTTAATGGGGAAGGAGGGCATCTAGCAAAGGCACAGTTTATTAAGCAAAGCATAGCATATTTTATTCCTATTCAATAGGAGAGACCACAGATGAAGTAATTTTGTGGATTTACTGAGCATTACTATACCAGTAATTTCTTGGGTACCAAGACAGTGACCTTTTTCTTAATTTACTAGCCTCCACCACAACCCCAATCTTTCTTTGGTTTTTTTTTTAGGGAAAGGCACTCTGTTATTTGACCCCATGCTTACTGTATCGTGGAACATTCTTTTATTAGATTTTATTGGGTTCAAGGCTGTTTTCCAGATGCTTTCGTGTCATTTTAAGCAGCATTTTAACTGGTACACAACAGTAACTTTTGTCTTTATTTACTAGCTTGGTAAGACAAACAGTTGAATTAGGAGGAGCTTCAGATACAACGTGTCATTTCCATAAGCCTTTATAGAGCAAACCTGACCTTTCTTCAAGTATTGAACTCTGCTGTCTGTAAGCTGTTGCTAATCAAATATTTAGAGATTCTTTGATATCTACTTTCAGTTCTTAAAGAGAAAATCATATGTAACTTTTAGACAGCTGTGTTTCAAAGCAAACCATTCCTATTTTAGGGTAAGTCCACTGAGTGGGGAAATTAATGTAAGCAACATTTTCTCACAGAACTTGGATACAAGAGCAATATACATGACTGAAGATTTTTAGGTCATATGGAAGTGTAGTCTAATCACTAAGTAATTCCATCTATTCAGCTTTTCCTGTATTCTTCCTGTGGAAGACAAAAGACAACTGATTGTAGCAGAAAGGGAAATCTAGCCTTGCCCATCTCAAATATATTTCCCGTCTCAAGTTATTGAAGACCATCTGTGACATAGAAGACATACTTATAAAATTTTAATGCTAAGAAAAAAGTCTCTCTTTCATAGTCCCTTTCTTTGGCAAATGTACATAAGGAACAGTGCTGTTGGTTGGAAAAACAGTCTGAGGCACACGATGCCCACTAACAGCTGTCCCCTGCAAAGACTTCAGTGATGTTGGTGTACAACCCAGTCCCAACTTGCCCCTGGAAAAGCAGGCTATATTGATTTAGTGGGCTGCTGGTTGAGTGCACTCCTGCTCTGAGAGTCAAATTATGACTGTTAGGGTTTGTGCATACCAGTGAAAAACAGAACAGGAATTTAGGTGCCTAAGGCCAAAATTGAAGGCCTGGGAGAAGAAACAAACTTGTAGCTATTGCTTGACAGTAGAAACACCTGTGAGAGAGTGAAGAAATTTTGCACCTTGATAATTCTTAAGCCCAAATGGGATCCCCTGTGAGTCTTGATTTCTTAAGATTTTCACTGAGAGTGCTTTAATTGACAGCTGCAGTGTAGGACTTTTTATGACTACAGTGTTAGCCTTTTTTTCTGCATATTGATTAGTAACCTATTAGAGAATGCTTCACTTCATTTGACAATGTGATAGGATTTTTAGCCTACTTCCCCTTCCTAATTTTTTTTAAACAGGTTGTCTAATACTGGCCAAATGTGATAAGTGATAGAAATAAATCTCTTCCTGGATTTTTGGAAGGATTAAAGTCAGAACGTGTTAAGAAAGAAGCAAGAAAAATTGAGTTATTTTAAGTTCAGTTTAGCAGCAGCCAGTCAGCGTGGCGCAGGCATTTGGCTATACCTTGGAACAAGCAGTGGTATATGTTCTCTCTTGCCTTGTTGGCAGGCCAAAAATTCTAGCTAAGGGTGAGATGGAAGGTACTGGAGACCACAGGAGGTGCTCAAGGTAATGTAGAAGCAAGTGAGAGGAACTGGAGTTAGTGAACCAAGTGTATTGTAATATGGGAATCTTGTAGGTAGATGGAGATGTAGGAGGAATAAGACATAGGACATGGGGCTTTGTAAGACCTTTCATGGGTTTAGCAACCTGATTTGTCTGCTTGCTTGTGTTTGTATTGGCTTGTTAATCTACTTTGGTTTGCTGGTCTCCTGAACAATTTCAGGGGAGAAGGTGGGGGTAGAGTGTCGTGGTTGATTGCAGGTACAATACGAGCACTTATACAAAAGCTATTCATTTAGTTCTTAGGTTCTGTCCTAAATGTAGTTAATCTGCACATTTTGTAGAGCATAAATTGGTATTTAATTGCCCCAGGGAAGCAGGAGAAGAGGGGCAAGTAGAAGATTACTATGTTCGTTTGAGCTTCCCAGCTTGTACTCACAACAAACTGGGGCAGATGCTACCAAGGTCCTTATTTTTTTGTCCCCAAAGTGTATGTTTTCCGTTCAATAGTCTAGGTTATTTGGATTTTTATATTATCAGCATGGCTTTCAGATAAAAGGAAAAAGTAGACTTTTCCTTTCTAGTTTTTTTTTTTAATATTCCCATACCCCATCCCAAATTAATATATTTCATTACTTCTCTGTCTTCTACTATTAATCTTTTAGAGTGGTATATAGAGATTTTGATTCTTGGTTTCATGTATCAAGAATTAAAAAAAAAAAAAGCTGTTTGATTAGTGTTCTGTGCTAAGTAAGGTTTCAAAAAGAGCTAATTGTTGTTTTCTATCTTTAGTCTCCTTGCTTTCATGCTTTCATTAGTTGTTGTGCTACTGACATTGGTAGAAAAATAGATACTTGCAGGAGATCGTAGTTGGCCTCTTTTCCAAGATACATAGAGCTAAAATCAAAGGCTTTTTACAAAAGCATAAGGTAAAGGGTTTTTTTATGTGTTTCATATCTCAGCTATTGACCAGGTTATCAGCTTATGTGAATACACATAGCCCTACTAAATTTCCTATAGTTATGCCTCCTTATAGAATCCAAGCATCTTGACTTTTATGATGACAGGCATTCATGACCTTTGTTGCAAATTTGGGTACGTTGTAAATGTCAGTAGTGAGCCAACAAAACACCTGCTATGTCCATGTTAGCATGAGCTTGTATTAGTTAGAATTTGCTTGTGTTTTAGCTGCTTTAAACAAAACAGAAATGTTAAGAATCTGATAATTTACGATGTTTCCTTTCAGGACCTCAGGGCAGAAACCCCACTTGGTGACCTGTGGCATCATGACTTTTGGGGTAGCAAACTCAGCAGCAATACCAGTCATAAGTCATATCGACCACTAACTGTCCTAACTTTCAGGTGAGAGTTGTCTTTTTGCTCAAGGTCTGAATTTTTTTAATATATATTGACTCAACTGATCATAGGGAGGAGGCAACAGAAAAGGAGAGAGGCAAAGTATCTGGAGGGTAGTTGGATACCTTTTCTGAATATGATTTTCCTGTTCACTACCTTAATCTCAAATTGAGTTTTAATTTTCAAATTGTTTTTTTCCCCAAAGTATGCATTATTTTGACATTCTGTATTACAATGTACCTGTCAGAGATTGCATCTTATGCTCTTATATACCTTGGTACTAGGGGCAATATGGTTCAGTATGTAGGTCACATCATCAAAGAACTAGGAGGTGTACATTCCCTTCACTTAGCCATGCTGCCACTTATACTGCTATTATAGTTTCTGTTCCCTGCTTTCCTGGTGACCTGTCAAATGATTTTTTTTATAAATAGCATCAATTTGCTATGGCCTTTTGCTGCTAGATCACTGAATAGTCTTCCCACCTCTTCCCCCCTGATATTCTAACTTCAAGTGAGTGCTGGTGTCTGAGAATCCTAGTGAGAGAGATATCTGCCTGTATATATATATAAATTGCTGGTTTTCTCAAATAACTAAAGGTTTATGAGGATTGCTTCTGTAGATGTGTAGCTCATGTTTTTTTGAACAAAGATTTGAGCAAGCAGTAGACCATGTAGAAGTTTGGCACAGTAATGCAGAGAATCTTTGACCACCCAGTCTTAAGCTTCTTTATTTTCCCCATGCAACTCAATGTTGTGGATGGGGACCTGGCACTGGTGCTGTAGTTGTGTCCGGCCTAAGTTAGGGACTAAGTGATAGCGGAAGAAGTACTCCCACTCTTAGTCCTCATATTCAAGCAAAAGCTTTGACTCTTGAGTGCAGTGTCAGTGTTTTAAGTACCTAGCACTGTGGGTTTCGCTGTCTGTTGGGCTTGCTTCACATTTTCATCAAGGAAAATACACAACTGAATAGAATGTGGCAGAGTCTTAAACCTATTAAAGCTTTCAGTGCATTACACAGCACATGCTTTCCTTTCTTTTCAAGGTCTCTGTGGTATATTCCATCTCTAGTAACATCCTGGTTAGTTTAAAGAGCAAACTGGGATACAGTCATTACTATATCTGAAAATATAGATGAGCATGTGGAGATGGTCCATAAAATGCTATTTTTGCAAGTAAGAACGTTGTTTTCTTAATTTCCCCAAGCTCCAACTTTTATGTGTATCACATTTATAATAGGTTAGGAGGTTTTAATAGATTTTACTTAGGCCAGATGCAGACTCACAAATGAACTATATAAAATGCCCTATTGACACTAAGTTTCTGTATATCTCGCCAACTGATAAAAGTATATGGATATTAACAAGATGTTTCTCCCTTTTCTTCTCCCTCTCCATTTTACCATAGAGCTCCTATCTTGAATAGGGTTTTAGACTGAATTTTCACTTAACACTTCCTTCTGGTTCTAATACTTGCATGAAACCTCTCTTTTAAACAGTTTCACAAATGAGTTACTAAGATGTGCTAACTGACTGCTTTCTGGATTGATACTGATTGTACCCAGATGGTTTCCCATCATCAGTCCAAATGCTAGGACGTTTTTCAGCTAAAATGTCAGTGGAAATCATAGTCTCAGTGTGTATTAGTTTCCTCACTGTGTGGATTTAATTAAAATAATTTCATCAGGTTGTTTTTGGATACAGCTTCTCATAAGTGTCAAGGGTATCCCCTCAGTAGTCTGGGTTGCTTATCCACAGGACACTCCTGTGTTGCAACATTTGGTTCCTTACCAAAAGCCAGTTCTAAGTAACCATAGTATGATTAACATAATATCATTTGTTTATACATATATATTACATTATGTCTATACATATATAGACATATATATTGTCTATATCTTTGGAGAGGATAGATATTACGCTGAATATAGTATCCCATATGAATACCTTTGACTAAAGATCAGGACGTCGTTTCTAGCTGACTGTGGTGGCTAAGTGGTAATACCATGCGTGCTGGGGTTTGCTGGTATTTTTCAGCTATTTTTTGTGCGTGTCTAATATGATCTTGCTATGGGGTTGTTTAGGTTTTCTGTTAGCATATCTCTAACCATTGATGTAATTCCTAGCCTTAATGTTTTTGTTTCTATATAGGATTAATTACCTGTTTGCTGGAGGCTTCTACCCAGTTGGTTTCCATGTCGTCAATATAGTACTGCATTGTACTATCTCAGTGTTGATGGTTGATGTGTTCTCGATATTATTGGGTGGACTGCAATTCAGTAACAAAGGAAGAAGGCTAAATCTGGCTCCAAAGACATCTCTTCTAGCTGCTTTGCTGTTTGCTGTACATCCAGTGCACACTGAATGTGTAAGTACTGAATAATTAGCTCCAGTGATTTATATCTTAGAAGTTCTTGATCATTTTGACTAATTAATTCTGACATAGCCTTCTACTCTACACATTGCTTTTATATATTCTTAACACTTCTCTTGGCACATGTCTTATGAGAACAATCAAATATTATGGTTAGTATGTCCAAAAGCCTGTAATTCCACAGGGCTGGACCTCATTAAGGAAGATAAATTAAATCATTTAAGTACAATAACTAAAGAAGGATAGCCCTGAACTACAGAGTTTCCCTAATTACTGGATTAAGAATTCATTACTAGAAACATTAGCTCATGAGCAGCCAAGGAGAATGGAAGATAAACTGAATGCAAACACATAACCACTTTTCATTACCATTTGCTTTGTTTAAAAAAAACCCAAGGAGATAGAAAATTGAAGTAGGGGCATTATGTGAACTCTGTGTGTGACTGTTGGAATACTGCATCCAGTTCTGAATCCATGTTGCAAGGACACTGGGAAAAATGGAGAGGGCTCAGAAGAGCCATGAAAATGATTAAAGGCCTGGAAATCATCCCATGTCATGAGAGACCGAACTCCATGGGTTTATATTTCTAACATGAAGGAGAAGATTAAAGGATTTTTTTTCACAGTCTGTAATTATGTACATGGGGAACACACATTTGATAGCAGTGGGCCCTTTTATAGTGCAGGAAAAAGCATAACAGTGGCTAGAAGTTGAAGCTGTAAAGATGCAGAATAGAAACATGGCACATGCACAGCAACCAATTAAAACACCTGACCAAAGATCAAAGTCCTTGTGTGGAAATTCTAGTGAAGAGGAGGTGGTTTTCTTAAAAAGCTCTTTTGCACTCATAGCTAAGAAAATCCTATGGCCTTCTGCCAGTGGGCTTGCTGGATGTGGTCTCTGATTGCTTGATCTTGTAGGAATGAATGAATGAAATCTAAAATAATCACAGTGCAGAAATCATGGCTTTTTTAGAGTTTGAAAGTACTGAGCTACCGAAAAAGTACTAACTTTAATATTGATCTTTGTGCTAGTAATGAACACTGAATCCTTAGTGCACCTTATTCCATATATGTGGCACTGATTTTTAATTTTTTCCACAATAAGCCATGGTTTTGGCTTTTTCCATTTACTCTGCACATGATTGATCTGGAAGAGGTTACAGAAAGCTATGCCTCTCAGCTGACTGGGGACCTTGCATGTATTGGAAACCTAGAGATGGTCCAAAGCTACATATTAGTAATTTGGCACCTTTTTTGGCAGTGTGGCTAAAACATCCTGCCAATCATTGTCCTGTGTTTTCTCACCTGCAGAATAACTTCTTTGTGAAAGCATGTTGTGCTAGTGCCACAAGGGCCTCTTGTATTTGTTCTCCGAAACCAGTTCTACATGTCAAAGTAAAACAAGACTTCAGTGCTTTTGATGTTCTGACATGTAAAGAGAAATATCACTTGCATCTTAACTTTGTAATAAGCCTACTATTGACTCCTTTATCAATATCCATGATTTTATTTTTCATTCCATTTGACTCTAAAAATATATTTAAATCATCAGGCAAATGTTAATAAGACCTTGGTCATGTCAGATGAATTACAAGTGGTGCGGTCTGCTTGCATATGCAAGGTTTGAAGACTTGCGTATGCTTTGGGCAAACATTGGAAGAAAAGGTAAAAAGTTGCATGCTCACATACCATGTCTCTTCTAAAATCCAGGAGTGAACAAAGGCCTCTAATCATTTACGCAGTGAGTAATAAGTCTTGCTGCACTGAAGCAGTCATGATACTGCTATGGTGCTAGCATGAGTGTGTGTCAGGCAGCATCTCCTCAAAAAGCATTCCTCATGATTTTAAAGCTGTGAGTTTTAAGTATTGTGACATCCTGGTTTTGAAGTGCGATGACGTATTTTGACATGAAATTGTGAAGAATCTGTTTGCTGCTTTGGATTTGGGTATACAGAGCACAAAACAAACTGTCATGTAAAACAGATCTTGAAAAGTTTAATGCTTTCAGTACCTATGTAAGAAAAACATCTGTCATTATCATTTTTCTACGTACAAGTAAACACACTTGTGGTGTAGTTCTCTCCTAAAAAATGCTTATTCTTTGTAACACCCGAGTGATGAAATACTAAATGAAACACAGACATAAGAATATACCTGATACTAATTTAAAACTGCATTTTTTTTTGTTTACCTTATTACCAGAGACTATAGGCCTCATCATGCATTTGAGATAACATTGTATTGTTGGAGTCCTCTGAGGCCATGTGTGTTATTAGCCCCTTAATCTCTTTGTTGTAACAAGTTGGCATTTATTTTCAAAATTGTGTCAATTCACTTTTACTTTATCTCATTAGCTGAGAGAAGCTCCTGAAAAAGAATGACACTTCATTATTTTCACCTTTCAAAGCACTCCACAGCTATTGAGCTAATTCCCGTAATTCCTCTACAAGATAGAAGAAACAGGGTAGTTAGATGCATGGCTTTGGATAAATCAAGAAGTCTTTCTGAACTGAGTTTAGGAATCCGATGGTTTTTCCTTTTACAGTGCTGAAGTGAAGCTGAGGGTAAAGTGGGAGAGAGTCTCTTCAGTGGATTCAGTCCTACACTTCTCTCTCTCTCTCTGATCTTGTTTAGAAGTAGTTGTTCCATCATGTCCGGCTGACTCAAAAAATGCCCTTTTCCTGAGAGAGGATTAGCAGGTGCCTTTAAATAACATGAAGATACAATTTATCTTTTTACTTTCCTCTTTCTGTTGCACTCACAAAATGGGACAACTGGTATACTATACAAGAACCAAAGTTTCTGCTTTTGTCCCTGAAACATCCCCTCAAAAAGTGGATTAGACAAATACCTGTAGCTGTTCTGCCCTGCTTCAGAAAGGCTTCTGTGTACATCTTCTTCTGGAAACATGGAACCCAGCACTCCGGGAAGTAGAACTAGACTGAAAAGTCACGGAAACATCCATTATCTTGCTCTGGGTGTATGTTCTAGTGAGGTCCCAATATCAGGGCCTCTACAGTCTCCTGCCAACCCCCTGTGTCATGATTTCCACAAAAAATTCATGGTGTGTCCTGATGCTTGTGAAATTGAGGAATGTAGATCCAAAAATATGTCATGCTGTGCCTCAGCAAGTTACTGTAAATACAGTTGAAGGGCTTGAACCAAAGCTTGTTGGATGGCTCTGAGAATGGTCTTGATTTAAATAGGTTGACACAGATCTGGAGTACAGAGGTCCCAGAATGCATTTCTCATTTTCTTTTGCATTAGTATGGCTTCTGTTGCAAGATGCATTTGGAGGTAGCTGTAATGCAATCAATTTATACAACACAGAAAACTGCTAGAGGGGAATTTTTTTTTTCCCCTGATTCTGCAGGCTGGAAGCTATTTGTCCATTCTGAGTGTTCAGACTGAAATTTGAAGGGTGGTTTGTCTTCTGAAAGTGGACAGTCTTGATTTGCATTTCAGCAGAGCTGCCAGTTTTGTTGGGATTCAGGATGTTTGCTAAGAGTTCTCCTGAGAGGCAATCTGATCCAAAAAAACAGATGGAATCAGGCAGAGTCTACATTTTATTCAGTGAGGTGCTTCTTCATTTATTAAAACTGCAGCTTTCAATTTAAACTTTAAATTAAAGCCATATCATTTACCTAGTTGATACTAAGCAATACCCAATCAAAATTAGAATGTGGCTTAGAAAACTGGCTATCACCAATCTAGTAAACCAGGTTAAAAAAAAAAAAATATAGTGATATTCTTTTATACATTTCACTTTGTATATGTTTGCGTACCTTTACCTCAGGTTTTTTAAGAATAAAATCTAGTAATCTGAAACTTTTTTTCTTTTTTTGTTTTCCTGAAGGTTGCCGGGATTGTTGGCAGAGCAGACCTACTGTGTGCCCTGTTCTTTTTGTTGTCATTCCTTGGCTACTGTAAAGCATTTAGAGAAAGTAAGCATTCTATTTGCCCCTTTAATTTTAGATTGTGTATTTTTTCTGCATTCATATGTTTCAGTGAAGCATAGCAAAACTAAGAATGTCAGCTTGATGTGGTTTGAATTTATTAATGTTTATATCCTCAGAAAATACTAAAAAAAAAAAAACAAAACTGCTTTATCAGGTATTTATGGTTAGAAGAGCTGGAAGAGTTGTGGTCCCTAATTCCCGTTAAACACTAAGAATTTATTTTAAGAAAAGTCTGACTTATTATAAGTTTATTTGTTAAACATTTTATTGTTTAGAAGCATAAAGAAATATTTTAGTAAGTATTTTAGAAAGAAATCAAACCTATAAATGTATATTCTTAAATATTTTAGTACACTTCGTGCCATTATGTTGGGAAGGCTTAAATGGGAACTAACTTTAGCAACCTTACTTGTATTTTTAATGAATTGTAAAGAATTATTCATATGAGTAAGACCTCTAAATTCCTGCAATATGCAAGTGCTGGCATATACGTACTGAATGTAGTGTTCTTCATAGAGTTTTTGTAAGACAGCTGTATTTAACATGAACTATTCCTTCGTAGATGTTTTTTCAAGTGAGCTTTTAGATCTGTTGTATTACTTGATCTGAATGCAGGTTGACAGTTTAAATAGTTGTGGAGAACTTAATCTTGGGGCTCTGTTAAATACACACACAAGAATACATTAATTCATTATTATAAAAAACTATACAGGACATGCCATCTGGTATCTGAATGTACCCCACCACAGGAAATACGGGAATCATTTGGTGAACCCATGAGGAGCCGTGTTGTGAAGAGCTTGTATAATATCAATTCAATAGGTATGGCTGTAATGTTTAACCAGAGTTGGCAGTGTATTACAGAGGTACCTGAGCTGGCTTTAGGTGATCTAGCTTAACGCCACAGTCACGGCATCATAGAGCTTAGTGTAGGCTGAGGGGGGTAAGTTAGTCCACAGTGAACTCTAAGATGCTGTGAATAGCTCCTGCTAATTGAGTTTAGATTGTTTAGGACTATTTTGCATATTTCTACAGCCGATAACGTAAGTTTAACTTCATCTTCGCCACTTCAAATGATACTTACGATGATTCCTGTTAATTTTTTGTATTTTTCTCCCCTTTGATTAGGTTTCATTTCTTTCAACTGAACTAATAATTTCTTGATGAAAATTGGCCTTGGGATCTTGCTTGCTCATTTATTCTTTTCTCACCTATTTTACTGGGTATGATTGTCCTTTGATGTTTCTTTCATTAGTGCCAGAGTAAAGTAGATAAATCAAAAAAGCTTTCCAGTTTGTTGGTGCAGGTAGACCTATATGTCAGGGGTAATAATCTTTACTTGAAGAACTCAAGAGCCAAATTCTTAGGACGACCATTGGAAATTTTTATATATAGGACTCTGTAATTATTTTGATATGGAGGACATCTCAGGAATGATTAAGAATGTGATGTGTACTCTGGTTAGGGGTATTCTGAGTCCTTGTACAACTTGCAAAGGCCAGTTTGATAGCTTTTAGAAATCAGTGTCAGTTTAATAGTATTCTTGTACTGAAATTCTTGCCATTGATACAGAAGAAGGAAAATATTGTGAAGACAAGATACTAAGCAGCATTTAGTATTTTTTATTGGACATTGCATCATAATAGGGTCAGAGCTGTGTGTCTCAAGCAGATTTGCCAAGGAAAACTACAGTATGCCAGCATAGTTGTGCCTTTTGTCTTTCAGATCAGTTTTCAATGTTTGCCTTCCCTGCCTGCTTTTCCCTCAGCAACTTCTTAAAGAAATTTAAACTTTCTGTGTACTCAAGAAATTGTATCCAAGTTACATATTTGAGTCTCTCCCAACAGTTCCCTCATTTTGGGTAGCATGGTGAGAATTTAAGGTTCTTGCAGATCCTATCTGGCATGTCCTAAACAAGAGAATGAAAAGTTATTTCTAGCACTGTGGAAGAG